AAAAACAATCAGCAACAACAACAAAATGACTACATGTCTATCTCCATTCAATTCAAGCCAAAGTTGATATCTTACTGCCATTCAATTCAAACCAAGATGTGGAACGAGCTAGTCCAGCAATGCTACCGCCTGCAATCGCAGTTGATTCACCAGGCCGTGGGCCCACACCAGCAGGTCTTGCAGTTACCTGTTCAATACCTATAGTAGACAACACCCTCCGTCCAAGGCTTGCAACACGTGGTGATGGATCCTTGGCCAGATTACACATAGTTAATACAAATTGTGAATATAGTGCATTATCCAGTGGCCTCCGTCTTGAATGGTTGAGAACCCCATTGCTACTACCACCGTCATTTAGTGCCCCGGAATCAGAATACTGAGACGAGTCATCAGAAAGTGGAGATCCATGCATCATTCCAGGTGTAGCTAGGGGGCTACTGGTCGATACTCTACCATCACGAGCCACTGTCTGGCCATCATTTCCAACTCGTAGTAAGGGAGCAATAGAAGAAGGAATTATACTCCCATGTGGCATGTAGTGTGTTGGAGTCGTATAGCCACTACTGGAACCCCTGACGGCAAAAGACGGCAAGGAAGTAAGCACAGAACTGGACTGGGGTTTCCAGTAAGCAGCAGCAACTGACTTTAGGTGTTTAATGTGACCAAAGGCAAAACGAGACAGAGCTGCACACAGGAACGAGGTGTTTATTGGGAAAGAACTTTTTTAATTCCAGGAACACAATGCATCAGGACAGGAAAGGACAATGAAGTTTTACATACCCACAGCAACTTCAGCACGAACCAGAGGGCTTCCATCAGAAACAGCATTCAAAAGGCTCTTCATAATGACAGCTTCAGCCCTAATTTTTTCATCATCATCCAAAACTTCATCTCCATGACCATCTCTCGATGAGTCAAACCCCACATCAAGGGCAGCGCCCAGAGCAAAAACAGCTGCTGCACGGACCTTAAAAAAATATATACTCAGATTACACTGTGTAACTCAACCGTAAGTATCTCAAAACAGTATGATGATACTGTAAGTACAAGTAATAGAAAAGATAAAAAAAACCTCAGGCTGGGGTTCAGAAAGTAGAGGTGCGAGAATAGCAGGGGCACCAGCCTGAAACCCTATCTGTTGAGCTTCTGAAAAATCCTCCCACAATTTCCCAAGGCACAAACATATCCATTGAAGAAAAATAGGCTCCGTTTGTGCCTCACTTGCGGATGAGTATTGAAGGTGCTTGAGACAAACATGTATAAGACCAGCTTCAATGCAAGTCTCCTGACCTCGCCTGTGGCCATCTACAATAACAGCTAAAACAAACGCAGCCATTGCACGTTGCTCGGGATACGCTTCTACACTGTCAAGAAATCTAATGAAGTATATGTGCCCCCCATCCTTTACAAGATCAACCTGACAGGACTGGAGAAACGGAAATTGTTGTTCAAATAATAAATGGTTCAAAAATTAGTTTGTAAGAAAGACATGAAGAAAGAACATGCTTACTTATTAACACAGTACTTCAAATTTCAAAATGATCTGGGTTATTATAAATTATAATAAATCAACGAAGATGTTGTGTTTTAAGCATTTATGCATCACCTAGGGTGTCTATTATAACTTGAA